AATTTTGCACATTTGCATGTTCAGTAAATTTGTTTTAATGATTTTGACATCGTAAAGGAAGAGAGAACTTTATTAGAAACCAGGCCGGCTTGAAGTTAGAGCTTTCCCAACTCCTGAGTATGGAGCTATCTTGCAATCTTTTCAGTGGTAGGGATCCAGCGTTAACTATCCCACCTCCAGACCTCACCTGCAGATCCACTAGTCCCTGCACCTCTAGGCAAAGCTGGGAGCCTCTACCAGTCACTAGTCTGCTCTTCTATCGTTTCAGGTTGCACTGCCCCCTCTCAGCCTACTGCACCAGCAACTCTTCCTCCCAGCACCGGTAGTGGAAGCGGAAGCGGGAGCGGGAACGGAAGCGGAAGCGGAAGTGGGGGCACTGGCTTCTGTGCTGACAAACCTGATGGCCTCTACCCTGTGGCGGACAACAGGAATGCTTTCTGGCACTGCTTGAATGGAATCACTTACCAGCAGAACTGCCAGGCCGGCCTTGTCTTTGACCCCAGCTGTTCTTGCTGCAACTGGCCGTAAACCTGACCTGTCTCCATTCCCTAGGGTTCTGAACAGTCTCCTTTCTTTACAACATCTTGCTTCTACCTGGAGTTCTGCAATAAAATCCATCAGTCAAAACACGAGTGGTCTTGGTCTAAATGATTTGGGTGGAAGCCTCTCTAGATGGGAAAATGCAGGCTGTGCAGGGGGCGGAGTGGCAGAAGCAAGTGTGTGAGAACCTGGTGGTGATGACCACACGGTTCTCTATCTGGCTGTGTTGATCAGCATGAGGGCTGGAGGCATCAGGTGGAAAGGTTTGAAGGTTTGCTGCTGGGATGGGATGGGGACATGAAGAAAATAGGTCTGTAGCCTGGTGACTGTCCTGAGGAAGGAGCCAAAGTGATTCCATGAGACTTGGGGGCACAGGCCTGCTTGGCTCACTCAGAGAGCAGAAGACTAGGGCATTCTCTTCATGTCTGCTGAGGTCCCAGAGCTGGTACAGCACCTCTGGGATGGGCAACTTTGGGAAGACCTGTGCAGTGGACTCCTTTTGGGGTGTCTACCCAGCCCATGGGCCAGCAGTGTCCCTTTCTTGGGAGATTGCCCCCTCCTTGAACCCCCAGCAGTGGTCACCAGCTCCTGGGCTTGCAATGCATCATGTCCTCCCCTGGTCTGACTAGTTGACTGGGGTGGACATCAGACTCCACAGGGCCAATCAGATTATCACCTCTTGGAATCTGCAATGGGAAACGAGGACTGGTTGTCAGTCCCTGAGAGTGGCTGGGCCTCTCTCTCAGCTCAGGAGGTGTAGTGAGAGACAGAATGGAAAGTTGTCCTGGATGCAGAGCAAGAACACTAACGGGGAGCTACAGAGGAAGCCACAACATCGTGGAGAAAGAACCCTTACCACTGGCTTTCCAACTTGATTCTAGCTCCTTCCCAAGGCCCAGATGCATTTCTGCCTGTGTGCTCTGTGAAACTCCCCTGTAACTACATAATAAGTTCTTTGCTGCTTAAGATGGCTCGAGTTTCTTTCTTTTATTTGCAACTAAAAGAGCTTCAACTATATAAAAAGAACATAACGGTTCCTGTTTTTTCCTAGTGTGGTAACTATGTGTCAAACTCTGTTTTAAGTGTTTTACATGTCTTTATTTATTTCTCCCAGCAACCTTGTGAGGCACAGAGGAATTAGGTGACCTGCCCAACATCGCACAGCTAGTAAGTTGCAGAGCCAGACCCAAAGCCTAGCAGGCTGGTTCCAGAGCTCATACATAGTCCTAACGACTGCATTTTCCTGCCTCCCTTGACACTGCCCCCTCCTGGTGGAAAGCGGCATTCTGGTACTGATGAGGCACATGCCTGCAGCTTTCCAGGTAATGACCATTCATGAGCTCACAGCACTTACTGATTATTTATTATGTGTCAACTAATGTTCTAGATCTAAAGACAGTGGTCAAGTTTGGATTTTATTGTAAGTGAGCCACGAAGCCACTAGAAGGGCATAGCAGGGATGGCGGGGTGATGAAAATTCAATATTGGTAAGAGGGGGCTGGGATAGAGTCACAGAACTTAGGAAAAAACGTTCATTGTGATTGCAGCTGATGTATTGAGTTCCGAGCCTTCATGTGACATGCCTTGGAGATTGAAGACATAGATATGGGTGGGAGACCAGGGTCCCCGTGAAGGCAAGGGGCAGTAAAATTGGGTATTGTTATAAATGTAATTACATCTCTAGCTAAAGCATGACAAACCTTGGAGAAAAATCAACCTCTCTGAGGACAAGGATTTCTGTTCAGTGCTATGTTCCCATTGCCTGAAGCAGTGCCTGACATACTACAAGAGTTTAACAAGCACTTGTTGAATGAATGCATCGAAGAAGGCAGGACGGGAGGTAGGACCTAACAAGTGGAGTATTCCAAGCGTTGGACTAGGTCCTTTAATATGTTATCTCCCATGTGGTGGATATTGTTACAGGTGAGGAACTTGAGATCGTGGGTGGAAAACTCGCCCAAGATCATGTAGTTAATAGTTAGCAGAGCTGCTTTTCAAGGTTGGGCCTTTCTGGCTCCCTTGACACCACAATGCGTTGGTTTGAAGAAGCCATGTCACAAAGACTTGAAAGGGGACTTCGAGGGTGGGGCTGGTGCTTAGCAGTCAGTTTTAGTTACATCCTTCATTTGTTGGTTAAAGTTCACTTATGAGAGTGGTGACTCATGGAGACTGAACACTGGAAACCCTGGAGGTTAGAAAGCATCTCTGAGTCTGAGATCTGGTCCAGAGCTTCTCGGAAATCTTCCCAGTCCTTGCTATTGGATCTACCTAGGACCACAAAGGTGACCAAGTCAACAAAGACCTTCCAGCCATTCCTCTGGAACTTTGATGATGGTAATGGTGTCCTTGAACTCTCGTACATTATGAAAACTCACTCCTTCAGTATTGGAGTCTGACTGGAAAGAGGTGGGGTGTGCACAGGGTTACAGAAGGACCCTGATCTGGGTGGGTATGGGGAAGTGCTCCTCTCACCACGTCACATGGGTGGCACGCACCCAGATGCAAGGGCACCATTTTTTGTAGTTGCTGTTGGTTGTCCTCACCAGAGGCTATTTTTTCCATTGATTTTTAGAGAGAGTGGAAGGGAGGGAGGGGAGGGGAAGGAGGGGGAGAGAGAGAGAGAGAGAGAGAGAGAGAGAGAAACATCGATGTGAGAGAGACACATTGATTGGTTGCCTTCCCATACCCACCCTGACTGGGGCCTGGGATTGAATCTACAGCCCAGGTATGTGCCCTTGACCGGGAATTGAACCCGTGACCCCTTTGGTGTACCGACCGATGTTCTAACCACTGAGCAACACCGGCCATTTTTTAGATTTGCACAAAGGTACCCTTGGAGTTAGCTGTAGCCCTGGGCATGGAGGTGAGAGATTGGAAGTGCACTGACATTTATTAAATGCCAATTATAGGTCAGTCCCTTGCCATGCAAGATTTGTTCTGCAGTGTCTCCTGAATTCTCATGGCAGCCTTAAGAGGTGACAATGATTAGAGACATTTCATAGATGAACCAAGGCTTAGGTAGATGGAGTAACTTCCACAAGGTCATGGAGCTAGTAAACGACAGACGAGGACCTATTGGGAACCGGCTTTGAGTGGCTTTAAAGCCTGTGTCCATTCTACCCCCAGAAGAGAGAGGTTGGTATCTAAGAAAGACCAGAAAGTGGGGCTTGGAAAGTCTATTTTCCTCTCTTCTGATCTGGACACATCCATCCTCCAGCATCCTGTTCAGACCCAAGTCCTGCTTTGAGTGACAAATTCTTTTGTAACATTTCGAAACACTATTTTGTAATTATTTTATCCTAAAATCAAATTCATGGATAACATCACCTACCACATATGATTTCATAAACAATATAATGCCATAATATTAATGTAAAGAAGAAAAAATAATTCCCAATAAAATAACATATATAAATGCTCAGCTGTAACTGCTTTAGAAGACAATGAAGTAGCCAGGCTCTTGCACTGTATAATGACCGATGCCTAAGTCTAGAGTTAAGAGAGGAGGTGAGATGCCATTTCATGCAGGCTGCGTAGGAAAACAAAAGAGCAGAGTGATCACCGGGCACCTTTATTCCCTGGGTTTATCTCTTTAGGGTCCCAACTAAAAGCCCAGGGTGTTTTCCAGTCCTCCCTCCTCCATGATCCGCCTAATTTTTGCTCCCCAGCTTTCAGAGACTCTGTTCCCAGTTCTGCTAGAACCTTCTGCTTCTCGGCCAGCTTTTTAATTAGCGAATGTTCAAAGGGAAGAGCAGCGCCAACTGTTGGGCGCACCACTTTGGTTTTTCTTCTGTCTGGGATCTTGGCCCTGCATGTTTTTTCTTCTTTGGTATATCTCTGACGACACCACATATTTTATTTAGTCTAGCTTTTTAATCTCTCCTCAGCCAGAGGATCAGTTGGAACCCAACCAAAACACCAATGAGGGAACGAGTCGTCATATTATCAAAGTACTTTGTAAGACATGTTGCATGTCACTAATAATGTAAACACTAATTTCAAAAACACTGTGGGTACCTAAAATGTTAATAAAAATGAAAGTTATCAATCAATGCCAAGATTTCTTTACACTTTACCATTCATGTTACTGAAATTTGAGTAGACAGAATGCTTGGAGTAAATTATACGATAATTTTGAAATTGTATCTTTGTTTCTCATAATGACCTTCTCCTATATTACTGGGCTTTCTGCATCCTTTCTTTTTTAAAAAAAAAAAAAAAAGTCCAGCTATTATATATGTCAAGTACGGCCAATTATTTTTGTAGCATCCAGCAGGACATGTAGGACAAGAGACAATGCCCTGCCAGGTGTCCAGCCTCCCCGGCCCATTGAGAGGGGCATCCCTCCAATAATTTTTAGCAAGCAAAATGCTTTCATGAGTGTCCAAAATATCCTCCAGGACTCAGCAGCACTTTTTGGAAACCCTACCTTCGATTTATAAAATCATCCCCTGCTTACAATGCTAGCCCAGGGTAAGCGTGGATCCCAGGGTCGTCCTTAGGGGCCAAAGGGTTGTATGGACCAGTCACACGGTGCACTCTGTTGCCTCCCACACCTGACGATTCCTACAGCCATCCTAAAGTCGAGTGCAAACAAGTTAGTGACAATGTCCCCAAGAGAGGTAAAGAAGTCAGCACACACCCAGCTGCTGCTGCTTGGGTCGGGGATGGGAGGGAGCGCTCCAGCTGGCTGGGTATTGTCTCCCGTAAGAATAACCCTTTGCACTGCCCCTTACCAAGTACCAGACACCGAATTTCTTTAAATCTGTTATCTCGGTCCTCTCAACAACCCTGTAAAGAGGAATTATTCTCAATTTAGAGATAAGGACACGGGACTTAGACATTTAAGTGACTGCCCAAGATTTTAAAACTAGCAGCACTTCTGTGATTCTGTTGCACTCTTACTGCTCCACTCACGGCCTCCAGCGATGCTAAAAGCTTGTGCTCCCTTTAGGGGGACAAGGGGACAACCTGATGGGGAGGGCTGGAGGAAAAGAAAGGTCTAAGATGCTCCTAATGGGGAACGATCCAGGCCCCATTCGGTCCCCAATTCCCCGGCTCTGGTCGTCGCCCCGGGAGCCCACCTCCTAGTCCCTGAGCCCAGTGGCCCGAATTTCCAGGCACTCTGAGCCCATGTCCCCTCTCTCCTCAGCACATTCCCGATGGCCCAGTTTCCAAAACCCTTGGGCCCAGCCCTCCCCCGGAGCTCCTGCAGCCGCGGGCCCAGCCCAGCCACCTT